CAGCCAATCTTTTAACTTGTTTACAATTATTATACGATTATTACAGTGCGTTTCATAATTATAAGGTCACCCTAAAATTTTGCATTTCCGGGACAAGCAGCAGACTGGCAATTTTTCTAGTATTACCAGCTTTCCTCACTATGAAAAACCCCTGGAGCGCAATTTTGGCGGGAGCAGCTTTTCTTTTAACTTTTTTATAATTATTTTTCGGTTTTTGCACCGTTTCATAATTATAAGGTCACCCTGTGAAAATGAATACTACATTATCAGAAACAACCAACCTGCCTGTGAAATTGAATGTTTGTTACAAACACACCATTAGCTAAATTTATGGAATGTTTCGTACTCGTCTTTTGAAGAAAAGGTAAAGTTTATGCATTTCATGGTGCTCGGCACGGTTCGGAGTCTTTCCAAAGCACTTCGGAAATCCTTTAGCTCTGCTCATGGATAATTGAAAAGCTCCTACGTCTCCAGATATTCTACAAGTTTCGAACATCCACAAAAAGGTTTCTATAAATGATTAGAGAAGAGTTATGAGGGCTGTCCCAAACAGTATTTCCTCTTGAAATCAGCGTCGCGCGTAATTTAATGTTTCTATCTTAAAAATATGAACTGGAGAGCGGTGAAAAGATGCAGCAACATTGTCAGGAAAGCACAAAGATGGTCCGAAGGCTCACTGGCCATTACGAGGAAGCACAACTTCAACCCGTAAAGTTGAACTTAGAGAGAGATTGAACAAAGTTGAGCCTGCGCCACAATCGCACCATACAGCAAGATAATTTCAGTAAAGTTGGTATTTTTCGGACAAAACTGGTTTATACAAACAGATCCTGCGGATATAAACACTTTTGCAAGTGACTTGCGAAGGTGGCCGATTCACTTCAGCGCTTGCAATTTTAGTTAAGGAGATGTGAAAGGTGTGGGTGTTTTTTGTGATGATGTTGGGTCAAAATTTCGCTTACATGAACTGCATAATGGATTTTAACCCATTGGCGACAATGCGATTTTTCGCTTGTCTGCCGCGTCGGACCGCGCCTTTTTTGACATTTTTGAAAAATGTGTCATAATGCGGCTAACCACCTGCACCAAAAATGTTGAATCTTGAAGCATGAACTGTTAGAACTTTGCAAGTTTCGTATGATTGCAGACCGCTTCCAAAATGAGCGTAAATCTTTAGGTTTTGCCGAGGGTGTATTTTGGAGCATGCCAGAAAAACTTCAAATCTCCACTTTAAAACCCGTAAATGAGGTCGGATCCAGATCTCTCTTTGTGAAATGTTGTATCATTACTCCAGCTGACTCCAGGCGAAAAGCCAGCCGGATACACTTGAAAATAACAAGCTTTGCCTTGGAAAATCACTTTCAAGTACCCCTCTTGTTAAACATCAACTAAGGAAGATATGCACTGTCCATTAATACCTTAAGTATGACAATGCTTTCCTGATTAGTATGCTATTGGAACACTTCTGGAAATCCTG